CTGTGGGCTTCTCAGGGATGCCCTGAGGGTACTCACCGCACCTGGGTCGGTCCTATGTGTCCCTCCGGCCCTTCGAGGTTCCCTTGGGGGCCCCAGCAGCCACTGGTTGACCCCTGGGGTCCAAGGGCCCAACCACCTCTGGGAGTGTCCCCGCCGCACATGGGAGGGTCCCTGGGGAGCTTAGTTGAGAGCTCTGTTAGATGGGACTACAACATCCATCATAACATTTATTATCGTTTCCTTAACAACGAAATAGAGAATAATATCCAGCAGGAAAACATAAGTTGGGGTGTGTGCTGACTGATTGTTCTCTTCTCCTATTGCCTGTAATTTGTGGGTACACATTTTATTCCACCAATCACATTCAAGTAAGGAATTGGTGGACGATGTAATATGTAAATCACGACCAAGTATGCTATAGGGCCAGTGGACTGTCCCAGGGTCCCTGCCTTCTTTGGGAGAGTTCCTGGGGCCCGTGCCTCCTTGAGATCGTCCCAGGGCTCCAGTCGCCCCTGGGAGTTTCCATGGCCCGCTGCCCAGGAGGTTCCCAGACGACCCCGGCATCCCTGGGAGGTTTCCTGGGACTACTGCTGCATTTGGAAGAGTCCCAGGGGTCCCTCCCACCCCCTTGAGGGACCCAGTGGCTCCCACTCCACCCTGAAATGGTCCCTTGGGTCCCAGGTACTCCCTGGATCCCGGAAGGGTCCCAGTCACCTTGGGAGGGTGCTTGGGGCCTCGATGCCCCTGGAGTGGGTATTCACCGATCCTGGGTGGGTCCTATGCCCCCTCCGCCCCTGCGAGATCCCTGTCCCCAGCAGCCCTGAGGGGTCCCAGGCCCAACCACTTGGGAGTGTCTGCGCGGCACATGGGAGGTCCCCTAAGGGCCATTTTTCTGCTGTTTAGAGCTCTGGTAGATATGACTACAACACCCATCATAACATTTCCAATATTATCGCTTCCTTAACAATGAAATCGAGAATAATATCCAGCAGGAAACATAAGTTGGGTTGTGCTGACTGACTGCTCTTCTCCTATTGGCTGTAATTTGGTGGCATTTTAGTCCACCAATCAAATTTAAGTAAGGAATTGATGGACGTATGTAATAGGGCCCCTGGAAATGGGTTCAGTGTCCCAGGGCTCCCGCCTTCTTTGGGAGAATTCCTAGGGCCCATGCCACCCTTGAGACTGTCCCAGGGGCCCCAGTCGCCCCTGGGAGTTTCCATGGGGACTCCGGCTCCCAGAGGTTATCAGACGACCCCGGCATCCCTGGGAGGTTTCCTGGGACTACTGCTGCATTTGGGAGAGTTGCAGGGGTCCCAGCCGCCCTTGAGGTCCCAGTGGCCCCACTGCCCCTGGGATGGTCCCTTGGCCCTAGGTGCTCCCGGATCCCGGAAGGGTCCCAGGGCCCTGTCGCCCTAGGAGGGTGCTTGGGGCCCCTGATGCCCCTGAGGGTACTCATCGCACCTGGGTGGGTCCTATGTGCCCCTCCGCCCCTGCAGGTTCCCTGGGGTCCCCAGCAGCCTTGGAGGTTCCAGGGGCCCAACCACCTCTGGGAGTGTCCCCGCCACACATGGGAGGGTCCCTGGGGGCAGTTGCTTTTCACATTTAGAGCTCTGGTAGATGTGACTACAACACCCATCATAACATTTCCAGTATTATCACTTCCTTAACAACGAAATCGAGAATAATATCCAGTAGGAAAACATAAGTTGGGGTGTTGTGCTGACTGACTGTTCTCTTCTCCTATTGGCTGTAATTTGGTGGGTACACATTTTAGTCCACCAATCACATTTAAATAAGGAATTGATGGACCTATATAATATGTACGACATCACGGCCAAGTATGCTACAGGGCCCCTGGAAGTGCGGCCCCTGGAGTGCCCCAGGGGTCCCCACCTTCTTTATGAAGGTTCCTGGGGCCCGCGCGTTCCTTGAGACCGTCCCAGGCGCCCCAGTCGTCCCTGGAAGTTTCCATAGGGACTCCTCCGCTCCTGGGAGATCCCAGAAGACCCCGGCATCCCTGGGAGGTTTTCCAGGACTCGTTCTGCATCTGGAAGAGTCCCAGGGTCCCCCGCCGCTGGGACCCAGTGGCCCCCACTCGACCCTGGGATGGTCCCTTGGGTCCCAGGTGCTCCCGTGGATCCCGGAAGGGTCCCAGGGGCCCCCATCGATTCTGGGAGGGTGCTTGGGGCCTCGGATGCCCTGAGTGGTACTCACCGCACCTGGGTGGGTCCTGTGTCCCCTCCGCCCCTGCGAGGTTTCCTGGGGGCCCAGCAGCCCCTGGTTGGGCCCTGGGAGGGTCCCAGGGCCCAACCACCTCTGGGAGTGTCCCGCACATGGGAGGGGTCCCTGGGCAGTTGTTTTTCTGCTGTTTAGAGCTCTGGTAGATGTGACTACAACACCCATCATAACATTTCCAGTATTATCGTTTCCTTAACAACGAAATCGAGAATAATATCCAGTAGAAAACATAAGTTTGGGGTGTTGTGCTGACTGACTGTTCTCTTCTCCTATTGGCTGTAATTTGGTGGGTACACATTTTAGTCCACTAATCAAATTTAAGTAAGGAATTGATGGACGTATGTAATAGGGCCCTAGGAGTGTCCCAGGGCTCCCCGCCTTCTTTGGGAGAATTCATAGGGCCGCGCCTTGATACCGTCCTAGGGTCCCAGTCGTCCCTGGGAGTTTCCATGGGGACTCCGCTGCTCCCATTAGGTTCCTGGAAGACCCCGGCATCCCTGGGACGTTTCCTGGGACTCCTGTTGCATCTGGGAGAGTCCCAGGGGTCTTCGCCGCCCCTTGGAGGGACCCAGTGGCTCCCACTCGACCCTGGGATGGTCCCTTGGGTCCCAGGTGCTACCGTGGATCCCGTAAGGGTCCCAGGGACCCCATCGATTCTGGGAGGGTGCTTGGGGCCCTCGATGCCCCTGAGTGGGTACTCACCGCACCTGGGTCGGTCCTATGTGTCCCCTCCGGCCCTTCGAGGTTCCCTGGGGGCCCCAGCAGCCACTGGTTGGACCCCTGGGAGGGTCCCAGGGGCCCAACCACCTCTGGGAGTGTCCCCGCCGCACATGGGAGGGTCCCTGGGGGGAGCTGTTTTATAGCTATTTAGAGCTCTGGTAGATGGGACTACAACATCCATCATAACATTTCCAGTATTATCGTTTCCTTAACAACGAAATAGAGAATAATATCCAGCAGGAAAACATAAGTTGGGGTGTTGTGCTGACTGATTGTTCTCTTCTCCTATTGCCTGTAATTTGGTGGGTACACATTTTATTCCACCAATCACATTCAAGTAAGGAATTGGTGGACGTATGTAATATGTAAATCACGACCAAGTATGCTATAGGGCCAGTGGACTGTCCCAGGGGTCCCTGCCTTCTTTGGGAGAGTTCCTGGGGCCCGTGCCTTCCTTGAGACTGTCCCAGGGGCTCCAGTCGCCCCTGGGAGTTTCCATGGGGCTCCGCCGCTCCAGGGAGGTTCCCAGACGACCCCGGCATCCCTGGGAGGTTTCCTGGGACTACTGCTGCATTTGGAAGAGTCCCAGGGGTCCCCGCCACCCCTTGGAGGGACCCAGTGGCTCCCACTCCACCCTGAAATGGTCCCTTGGGTCCCAGGTACTCCCGTGGATCCCGGAAGGGTCCCAGTCACCTCTGGGAGGGTGCTTGGGGCCTCGATGCCCCTGAGTGGGTATTCACCGATCCTGGGTGGGTCCTATGTGCCCCCTCCGCCCCTGCGAGGATCCCTGGGGTCCCCAGCAGCCCCTGGGAGGGTCCCAGGGGCCCAACCACTTCTGGGAGTGTCTGCGCCGCACATGGGAGGGTCCCTGGGGGCAGTTGTTTTTCTGCTGTTTAGAGCTCTGGTAGATATGACTACAACACCCATCATAACATTTCCAATATTATCGCTTCCTTAACAATGAAATCGAGAATAATATCCAGCAGGAAAACATAAGTTGGGGTGTTGTGCTGACTGACTGTTCTCTTCTCCTATTGGCTGTAATTTGGTGGGTACACATTTTAGTCCACCAATCAAATTTAAGTAAGGAATTGATGGACGTATGTAATAGGGCCCCTGGAAATGCGGCTCCTGAAGTGTCCCAGGGCTCCCCGCCTTCTTTGGGAGAATTCCTAGGGCCCATGCCACCCTTGAGACTGTCCCAGGGGCCCCAGTCGCCCCTGGGAGTTTCCATGGGGACTCCGCCGCTCCAGGGAGGTTATCAGACGACCCCGGCATCCCTGGGAGGTTTCCTGGGACTACTGCTGCATTTGGGAGAGTTGCAGGGGTCCCAGCCGCCCCTTGGAGGGTCCCAGTGGCCCCCACTCGCCCCTGGGATGGTCCCTTGGGCCCTAGGTGCTCCCGTGGATCCCGGAAGGGTCCCAGGGGCCCCCGTCGCCTCTAGGAGGGTGCTTGGGGCCCTCGATGCCCCTGAGTGGGTACTCATCGCACCTGGGTGGGTCCTATGTGCCCCCTCCGCCCCTGCAAGGTTCCCTGGGGTCCCCAGCAGCCTTTGGGATTGTTCCAGGGGCCCAACCACCTCTGGGAAGGTCCCTGGGGGCAGTTGCTTTTCTGCTATTTAGAGCTCTGGTCGATGGGACTACAACACCCATCATAACATTTCCAGGATTATCGCTTCCTTGACAACGAAATAGAGAATAATATCCAGCAGGAAAACATAAGTTGGGGTGTTGTGCTGACTGACTGTTCTCTTCTCCTATTGGCTGTAATTTGGTGGGAACACATTTTAGTCCACCAATCACATTTATACAAGGAATTGATGAACGTATGTAATATGTACGATATCACGACCAAGTATGCTATAGGGCCCCTAGAGTGTCCCAGGGGTCCCCGCCTTCTTTGTGAAGGTTCCTGGGGCCCGCGCTGCCCTTGAGACCGTCGCAGGGGCCCCAGTTGCCCCTGGAAGTTTCCATGGGGACTCCACCGTTCCTGGGAGGTTCCCAGAAGACCCCGGCATCCCTGGGAGGTTTCCTGAGACTCCTGCTGTATCTGGGAGTCTCTCAGGGGTCCCTGCCGCCACTTGGAGGGACCCACTGGCCCCCACTCGCCCCTGTGATGGTGCCTTGGGTCCCTGGTGCTCCAGTGGATCCCGGAAGTGTCCCAGGGGCCCCCGTCGCCTCTGGGAGGGTGCTTGGGTCCCTCGACGCCCCTGAGAGCGTCCTCACCGCACCTGGGTGGGTCCTATGGGCCTCCTCCGCCCCTGTGAGGATCCCTGGGGTCCCAGCAGCCCCTGGGAGGGTTACAGGGGCCCCGCCGATTGTGGGAGGATCCAAGGAGCCCCACTGCATATGGGAAGGATTCAGGGGCCCCAATCGCTTCCACAAGGATCCCAGGGGCCCCACCACCTCTGGGAGTGTCCCCGCCGGACATGGGAAGGTCCCTGGGGGCAGTTGTTTTTCTGCTATTTAGAGCTCTGGTAGATGGGACTACAACATCCATCGTAACATTTCCAGTATTATCGTTTCCTTAACTACGAATTAGAGAATAATATCCAGCAGGAAAACATAAGTTGGGGTGTTGTGCTGACTGACTATTCTCTTCTCCTATTGGCAGAAATTTGGTGGGTACGCATTTTAGTCCCTCAATCACATTTAAGTAAGGAATTGATAGACGTATGTAACATTTACAACATCACGACCAAGTATGCGATAGGGACCCTGCAAGTACGGCTCCTGGAATGTCCCAGGGGTCCCCTCCTTCTTTGGGAGGGTTCCTGGGGTCCGCACCATCCTTGAGACCGTCCCAGGGCCTCCAGTCGCCCCTGGGTGTTTCCTTGGGGACTCCGCCGCTCCCGGGAGGTTCCCAGAAGACCCCGGCATCCCTGGAAGGTTTCCTGGGACTCCTGCTGCATCTGGGAGAGTCCCAGGGGTCCCTGCCGCTCCTTGGAGGGACCCTGTGGCCCCACTCGCCCCTGGGATGTTCCCTTGAGTCCCAGGTGCTCGTGTGGATCCCGGAAGTGTCCCAGGGGCCCCCGTCGCCTCTGGGAGGGTGCTTGGGGCCCTCTACGCCCCTGAGAGGGTCCTCACCACACCTGGGTGGGTCCTATGGGCCTCCTCCGTCCCTGAGAGGATCCCTGGGGTCCCCAGCACCCCCTGGGAGGGTTACAGGGGCCCCGCCGACCATGGGAGTATCCAAGGATCCCCACCGCATCTGGGAAGGATTCAGTGACCCCATCGCTTCTATAAGGATCCCAGGGGCCCCACGACCTCCGGGAGTGTCCCCGTCGCACATGGGAGGATCTCTGGGGGCAGTTGTTTTTCTGCTATTTAGAGCTCTGGTAGATGTGACTACAACACCCATCATAACATTTCCAGTATTATCGCTTCCTTAACAACGGAATGGAGAATAATATCCAGCAGGAAAACATAAGTTGGGGTGCTGTGCTGACTGACTGTTCTCTTCTCTTATTGGCTGTAATTTGGTGGGTACACATTTTAGTCCACCAATCACATTTAAGTAAGGAATTGATGGACGTATGTAATATGTACGACATGACGACCAAGTATGCGAAAGGGCCCCTGAAGTGCGGCCCCTGGAGTGTCCCAGGGGTCTCCGCCTTCTTTGGGAGGGTTCCTGGGGCCCGCGCTGTCCTTGAGACCGTCCCAGGGAGTTTCCGTGGGGACTCCGCCGCTCCCGGGAGGTTCCCAGAAGACCCCAGCATACCTGGGAGGTTTCCTGGGATTCCTGCTGCATCTGGGAGAGTCCCATGGGTCCCCGCTGCCCCTTGGAGGGACCCAGTGGCCCCAACTCGCCTCTGGGATGGCCCCTTGGGTCCCAGGTGCTCCCGTGGATGGTAGGTGGGTAGGTAGGTAGGTAGGTAAATTCACACGTCCTTTACACGTTGGGACAATGTGCTCTGGGAGTTAGTCGGCTTGGCATACTGAACCAGCCCAGGGTTTCAATGCTGAGCAGTACTTTAAATGAGGTGAGCTGCCACTTTTACTAGTACAGGTATTTCTTGTTTTCTTAGTTCATTTTGGGGGTTTGGACCATAATACAAAAATTAAATTTTTCCCAACCAGGAGGGAGGGGAGGTACCTTGTACTGTATGTATAATAGTGTGACCTTTTATGGGTTAAGCACTACAGTATTACATCAGAAAACACTAATAATAACAGTAAATCCAGTGAAATATGGCAGGGAGGGAGGGTTCCAAGAGCAGTGAACAACACATGCGGTGGCACCAGGACACAGACTGAGCAGATGTAAACAAACCCCACAGAATTTAACGGAATCACGCTTGATTTAGTGAAATAGTTTGGTAAAACGTATGAACATAATGGAAAGGTCGATTTAGTGGAAATTTCGATTTAACGAACAAAAGTGGCTTCAATTTGCTTGTTAAATCAAGAAAATACTGTATATGCAAGGTTTTTATGGAAAATGATACAAGTGAGACTGAGAATTTGTATTGACATTAGTACATTCATGAATGCACAAGATATGGTGGCTATATCTTTCCTTGAGTCTACAATACATATTCATGATATACAATATTCTATTCAATGTTTGACCTGTGTTGTTCTTGTTAACTGCAATAAGTTTAAGCTGTCAGGGTTATTAATTAACTTTCACCCATTACCAGGTGTGTTACAATGCACATGTACTATGCCTGGGAAGAGTTTATTGTTCTGTTGCAAAACTCAACAATTTGCTGTCCTTACATTCCCAAGATACTGTGTAAATCTATGTAAATCTCTGGTTAATTTACATTAATAAGAATTCTCAATAAAAATCTTGAATACAAGCTTTAATGTATAACCTTTAATGTATAACTGAAGAGTCCTACTGAATGTTTGACAATAGAATACAGTAGATGTATATTATAAAACATAATACACTAATGTATTTAACTAAACCTGATTTATATATACCTATTGCATGGAATCTTCTTAGTACAGTATTTCTGATTCATGAGGGCCTGTCTATGTACCTGTCTACTGCCATTCCACTGCTGAGATCTAAAATCATAGGGCAGAAATGGGGAAAAGTAGCGAGCTTATATGTATCAGTACATGAAATAGTTTTGATAATATGTGCTGAAGTCATATGGCTTTGATCACTAACTGCCTTAACAAACAGCTAATCCTACTGAAACACTGGACTGAAAAGAATAAAGATAAAATCTAATACAGTAAAGAAATAGATTAAATAGCCACCTCACCTATGTGGTTCTGTTAACTACTGGCTGCTTGAGTGAGTCTTGGAGGAACAAGCATGGTTTCTATTTGGCTATTATGTTATAGTGCATTGTTAAATGAGTATAATAAATATATATTAAATAAGATGTACGAGTACAGGGGGTCCTCGGTATTTCCGGTTAAATGAGACCGGAAAACCGCCTCTGATAAGGAATCCACCCAAAGTGGGGAATTAGTCCCCCAAAAAATAATGGAAATAGGTCAAATTGGGACCATGACATTGTACATGACACTCAAAAAAATGAATATGATATCTTTTAACAATTATTCACGTTAGAAACATTTGTTAAACATTTGATAACACATTACATTAAGAAATTGTTGAACTTTATAAGTTATCTAACGTCCTTAAAGTTCATTGTGGTCGGTGTGTTGAGGCAACGCAGCTTGTGCCAACGACCCGGTGGTCCGCAGCATCCATTGCTGGTGCACACTCACTCCAGTGGTTCATTGAGAGAAAATACTTATTATACTATTTAAAAAATAAATAATTTTAACAAAAAATATTTTTATTTACTTAGCTTCAAAGGTAGAGATGTTTGGTTTGATGGAGGTGGGTGCTGGGGGATGGAGGATTAATCGGAGGTTGTAAAAGAAACAGGACTAGGTGGATTGTCCACTCCCACTATTCTATTGCTGAATCACTTCTAATTTTACATCTATACTATAGCTAGTGTGCTTCCTTTTGAGTGCTGCACCACCCTGTTTGGGTTGGGAACTCATGGCGACAAAAATTATAAAATAATTCACCAAAACATGGATGAAAAGACACAACACAGCACTGATCTGGACAAAACAAAGCAGGAGACTGGCGCGGGGACACGTGTGTGCATGCACGACGCCAAGAAGAGGATGAAATTTCAAACGCTTAAGCTAAATATCTGTAGATTTTATTGGGAGTTTTAAATCCGTAAATTTTATCTGAAGTTTTCAGAGTTTTTGAGTGGAATCCACTTAAATGCGAGGACTTTTGATGTGGATGGTCACAAAAAGTTGACCACTTAACTGCGAAACCGCGGATAGTGAATACTCTTATAACGAGGACCTCCTGTATTTAAAAGTTGCAATTAAAATAAGTAGCTAACAGCATTTCCTTGGTGATAATTAACAAAATAACAGAAGGTTTCTAATAATCCAACTACTTCACATCTAAAAATGACACTGCTTGTAAATCTGTTAAATATTATAGTTATTCTAAATGTTTGTTAAATACAGAATGACAGTCTTCTCATACACTTTAAGCTACCTTAAATGCAAGTAATGAAATTGTCTGGAAAATGCATGAGTAATTCCCTAAGTGGAAGACAGACATTGGAAGCAACACCTAACCTGAGCAGAAGAAATTCATTTACTGCAGACTAAAACTGTGGCACTGAAGCATTGGTGTGAGAATGGTATAGTGTACATGTACTGTTCCATGGTTTTGGTGTGTGGTGGCAAGGAATTGAGGTCATGTGTGTGTGTGGAGTAAGCAAATTTATGGTGACACAAAGAATATCTTGAGTGATACTACAAAGCTACAGAGGTCGTAGTGCACAGTAAAACCTCCAGTTTGGTGACTAATTAGTGCCCAAAAAACCTCGCCAAACCAGAGGCTTAATCCAATGGGGAAAAGCCTAATTGGTACTGAGGGGCCAGCCAAAGTCTAAATTTTTTCCTATTTTACCCACATATAACCTGTATTTTATTGCTGAAAGAGAATGAAGAATTAGTTAAATCAACATAAACACAGAAAATCAACCTTAAAATTAAAGTTGAGGAGCTTAATGTATACTAAGCTGGTATCCGAGTACTTTTTCATTTTCTTCCCAACTCGATACTCAAGAGAATTTTTGTCTGTTTTTACCCCATCAATTGAACCGCTTGGGTGTTCAGACGGTCTTTCACCACCACTATCATCCCCTCCAATACACCCAGGTACTTTTGAGGCCATTAATCTGCGCAAGAACACCGCACCAAGCGAGTGGGAGAAAAAAAAGGACACAAAGGCCAAGGTCACTCAAACAAGCAGCGGGAATGCGGATTGACGTGGTCAAAATGGCTGCCTGAACAGTTGACTGGAGCTTTGTGATCTGTAAATACTCACCAGTACAGTAAAAGTCCAAAAATCCGGATGCCAGAAATCCGGACCACCCGAGAATCCGGACTTTTCGAAAACTCAAACTTTTTTTTTTTTTTTTTAACGGGCTTTTGTGTGTATATGAGTATGCGTGAGCGTCACAGCTGCACAGCGACAACAAGCGACCACGCGGTCGCCACTTTAAAACGAGCAATCAAACTGTGACAACGTATGTAATTTTGAGTCCTACTCTTTCCATTTACAGAGTACTGTACAAGCCCATAATAATGGCTCCCAAAGTAGATAAACTTCGTTGTGTGAAGAGAAAGAAGAACACGTTGAAATTGAGTGACAAACTTGAAATAATTAAGAAAATAGAACGTGGTGTGAACAATACTGTTCTTATGGAAACATACGACATTGGAAAGTCTACAATTTATGATAGAAAAAAGGCAAAGAATAAAATTCTAGAATTCACAGCTTTATCTTTAAAACTGCTTGTTTTGATAAATGAAACATGCTATATTTGCCAATGAATAAACTATCAAAATGTACCTGTTCATCTCTTCTTTATTCCTCCTTAAATTTGAATTTTAAAAGTACTGCCTGAGAATCCGAAAATCCGAAAATCCGGACCGACCCAATCCCCAAGCAGTCCAGATTTTTGGACTTCTACTGTAGTACTGTATTAAGCGAGATTTATCTTGCACTTATTATTCTACAATTATTAGTTGTGATTGCATTTAAATTAAAACTCTCGCCAAAGGTGAGGGTTTGGTCGCCATAATGGAGGGCAGGGTACTTTGAATTTTTACCGTCAACTTCGAATTCGCCAAACTGGAGGGTTTACTGTACAGCACTTTCTGTAATTCAAGTATCCAAATAAACTCCAAAATGTCTACAACAAAATAATTTGTAATGCCTTTTGCAAGCCTCCAAGGCCTGAGAGATCAATGTTCCTCTGTTAAAATGAATTGCTACAATGTCCCAGTGTTATAATAACCTGGTCACCACACCCCACTGTTCCACATCAAAGAATGAACCTGTGGCTTCAGTTTGTTCAAGGGAAAGTAGTTTTTGCCTGTGAGGCAAATGTTATGAAATCCACTTTCTTCAACTGAAGAACTTCTTCATTGCTTGAGCACATTTATCTGACACAACTCTCTGTCTCTTCTTTATCATATCTAACTGTTTTTTAGCTGGTCCATTGTTGGGGTCAATGGCTAAGGCAGACTGAATGTCATCTATGGCTATTTCATAGTTCTGTATTTCTGTATTAGCCACAGCTCGTCTGTACAGTGCCTTTACATTCTTTTCATCGGTATCAAGGACAATGGTAGCCGCAGATATGGCCAGCTTGTATTGGTGTTGTCTTATGTGATATAATGCGAGATTATTATAACAATGCATTTTAATTACTTGAATTTCTGCAAAACTATCCTTTACTTCATCTGGTTCAATCATAACAAGCCACTTTACTGCATCCCTGAACATAAAAAAGGCAGATATTTGTTTGGAGAGACAACCTTCTTTGTAGAGACCTATACCTAAGTTTTTGTACTTGACAGCTATACCTAATTTTTCCTTGGGAGTGAATTCTAATATTAATTTCCCATTCTCAATAATTTTTAAGCACGCTGTACATGTGAACTCCACCAACTCTGTGAGATCATCATTTACAAATCTTCCAGGAATACTGATACTTATGAAAGCAGTTTCCTCATCAGCCATAACAGAGAAGGCATTTTCTAAAGCCCTGTCTAGAGCAGATATGGCTTCACCAAATATCTGAGAGTCCAAAGCTTCGCTAATCAAGTATCGAGAATCCAACAGTTCCAACTCGCAGGAACAATATTTGTCTTGAAATTCAACACATATCTTTGCTTGTTCTCTGGGTTGAGCTTTCCCTGTATAAGGACGTTCTCCCTCCACCTCCACCTCTCCTCTACAGGTAACAATTATTTTTCTCATTTTTACAAACTACTTGAATTTCAAATACAGTACATGGAATAAACTAATTCAATAGAAACTCCATCACAGAATAACAACAGTTATAATATACTTAATATTGGCAGAAGTTTATCCTAAAATTAATATAGGCACTTGAATTTGCTCATATGCTCTAATAGGTAAGATGCAACAGAGCTTTAAGCAATTATTTAATATAAATATTCAACAAAAATCATCCCACAACTGGTACTGGTGAAGTGGTATTTGAGAAATGATTCATGATCAAAGTAACAGAACCGTATACTATGTACTAGTGTAGTATAATACTGTATTTGTAAATTTTTTTATCTGATAAATACATTTACATTTATAATATGGACCTGTGTTTCACTTTACCAGCATTGAACTATTTATTTGGCATCAAAATAGACATATCTTGATGGAACACAAAAATATATTTCATTGCACAATTTATCTTACACTAAGTAGGTATGGCACATCAGTTGCTACTTTTACTGGAGGTCGGCAGCGCTGCATCAAGCTGCTGACAGACTGCCCTGTGGTAGACCAACTAACACTGAGGAAGTGGTCATGAGCTGCTGAACTGTCTCACTGTTGTAGCTCTGCATATCTTCACTATCCAGATGGTTGCTGCAGGAAAGTAAATATAAAACTTAACAATGGATATGAACTAATCAATGATGATTTATATTTTAAGTACAGAAATGTGAATATGGTGTACTGTACATTGAAGCAACAAAATTGTTATTTAGGAACAGAGATGTGATATTATGTATTTTCAACTAAAGCACAGCAATTGAGGCAAGTTCTGTATATATTGTACCCCCGTCAATTTTGATCGTTATAAATTGGACTGGCTTAATACACATTGTTTTGTTTGAATTCTGAATAAATCCGAAATAACCGAGCGATTCCAAAAAGTCTCGCGACGATGGACTTGAAAATTCTTGTCCGTCAATTCAACTATGCTGTCGTGGCTCCCCAAGTAGGCTTGGGTCAGGTATAATCCCACTTGGACAATTGCCATCTGGACAATCGTCTTTTCTGTGTGATTTTTGCCATCCCACTTGGACGATTCCCAATTTTAATTGTCATTAATTTAATATTTAAATAATATTCATTTGTACAGGTATTCAAATATTTCATGCTATACCTGTATTCGTATTCATAAAAAAGTATTTGTAGGAATCTTCCAAGTGGGAAGACATTGTCTATCTAGGAATTGTCTGAGTGGCATGTACAGGTAATCTTGGGTCACGCTACTATCATGTGAGAGTGGGTCACCAGTGCAGACGGAGGTTATGCAGCGCTCCCACCAATGAAGGTGACATCTTTAATAACTCGTATCATTGTATCACAGCTGGATGATCATCACACTAAATTTTGAGTGGCAGCAAAGTAGTAGACGTACCCTATTATTAGATGTACTGTATGTACAGTACCCCAAACAAAGTATCGTTAGATTTTCTGTCGGTAAAGTTTGAAACACTACACGAAATACTTTGATATGATCCCCAGTTCATCATCATAAGTTGGTATGCCTGCTTGCCATATCAGCAACAGCTAGAGATGGGGGTAGGATTGGAGGAGGAAGTTGTCCTTACATGGAACACTATTACTTCAATATAACAAGAAATCCTTTAAGCCATATTAATATATGTACAGTATTATTCGAAAATGTATATACTGTACTCATTCATGCTCAAAGGTCACAGATGTAAAACTACCAACCATTCAGAAATAGGTTGAGTAACACTGCTTGGAAAGCCTCGAATCACATCAACCTCATGGCTAATAATACTTTTTGGAGGACTGTACAGTACATTTAAAAAATATTTATGTTTGCACAGTAATTATAGACTGAATATTTTATGAGGCACCCAAAGCATGGTAACTGAGTCCAGTAATCCCGTGTTTTTCGCTTTTTTTTTTTGCTCGGTTTTGACCATTCACTTTTTTTTTTACTAAATTATATATATATATATATATATATATATATATATATATATATATATATATATATATATATATATATATATATATTACACTACAGTATATATAATTTTTATTTATTTATTTGTAAATAAGAATTTTTTTGTATATAACTGTGTTTACGTGTTTTCCATTATCATCCTACAATATGATTATAGTTTCAAATAATGATGTTAGAAAATGCCAGTACAGTGCATCAGTGATCAGTGCGACCAATGGGCCGTGAGTGGAGAGCATGGCGTGGTTAAATGCATGAGCTGTTTGGTGGCTACAGGTACAGTGATTCCTAAAAGAGTATTCACAGTTTTGGCTTTTCGCAGGGGTTTCAGGAATGTAATTCCTGCGAAAAATGCTGGATTACTGTATGTTTGTTAATTGGAATAATGAGGAACAATCTTCGGAACGATTCAAATAAGGTGCAAAAATTGAACAGAAAATGAACGAATAATCAAACACCAAAATTTGAAAATTGTCGAATGATGTCAAAATATTCCGAACTCGGTTAATTTGGATTTTTCAGTAATTAGTTTTCTCCTGTTTACCTACATTTTATATTTTTGTACTTTCAATGTGCTAACCTTGTTTATTTTTACATTTTCTAACTTCCCTACATACTGTATACCCTTTCATATTTTCACCATTTCCAATACAGGGTACCTATCTTTTCTTTATTATGAATTCTCCAACAAACTCACATACAGTATTTATATAAGTCAGCAGGAACTGGTCTACTTTATAGCAAACCCAACAGTGAGTGAACTTTCTAAAAAAAAAAAAATATTCTTAGCATTATAAGTTTTTGATACTGATATTTATGCAAGGCTAAGGTTGACAGATGATATGTGTGGGATAGATCCTTGATACATGATGAAGACAAAGTGGCACTAACATACCTAGACACCTGCCACTTCTATATCCTGATCAGATAAATTGTTGAAAGTCATTAATGATGTTGACACTAGAATATAGTGAATCAAAAGCTCATCCAAAATATTTCCCCCATGTGTGTTGGGATACAGATTTGTACACCAATAAAGTCATTCACAAATACAGCAATAATCAATGAGTATACTGTAATTACTTAATGTATACTCCATTCACTAGATGTGGAGCATTAAGTGCATGTATGGTTGACTGTGCCCCTTCTTCCACGCCTCTCATGAAAATGAAACAATTTATACGGGTAAATATCTCGCTCCACGACTGCCAGGAGTGACGATAGATGGGAGTCCAAACATTCCCTGGATCAACTAATGCCACTGATACTCCTGGAATTAAAGAGATGGTAACCTTTAATTTTTAAGCAGAAGAAACAAAGGAAGTTAAAATAGCATCACGAAATTTCAATAAAGACATAAAATCATTTGATATGATATTTGTTACCTGTGAAACTTTTGGGGAAATCAAAACCATGAAGATAATTTAGATCAAATCTGGATGTGCACAGCAATAAAAATAATGAGTTCCCACCAAGTACCACAACTGAAGAATTACCTGGTACTGTTTGACTGAGATGTTGAGCAAAGAGATGTAAGGCCAATTTTGAGATGCCATAGTTCTTCACATGATCAGCAAATGTCTCCAACTCTCTTGATTGTTTAGGATTGAAGAGAATCAATTCTTCTGGTGACGCTAACTTATGGGCCTCAGATGTGACAAATACAACACGAGTTTCAGGTGGACGCTCTATGACATTCAGTAGCAAGGTGGTCAGAAGGACTACACCTGTAACAATACAATGATATGTTATAATGAACCTTTTCTGCTCAATGTAAGTAAACAGGTAAGTGTAAAAAAAAAGTGCAATAACAGTGATAACCAAATGATGTGATGACGGATTGGGAGATGTAGAAAGAAATGGATAACACTGACTAGCACAAGAAATTAATGCAAGAGACTGTACAGATTAATGTAAAGAAAACCCAAATGTAAAGGAACATAGAGGGGCCTGGCAAGTCATACAGAAACAAATGTCAGTCAGTCCCTAAGTACGTACAACATCTATAATGACTGTAGAGGTTACATGTTGGTAGTAACCCCTTGCAATAGATACTTCACACTCCTTAATTTAATTCTAATAAGAAGGATCAGTGTCATGGAGTTATGTTGCATTCAAAAGGGATGTGATGAATGGGAAATGGTGGGAGCAGGTTTTTTTTTATGCTTCAGTATAATAAATTTTTATTATTTTCATACATATTGTATGAGATTTAGCATTATGTGAACAATGGGTAATTAAACTTGATCCTTACCAAGGTAGTTTGTTTGGTAGGTAATCTCAATCTCATTACAAGTTAAGCCTGCTGGGTGATGAAATACAGCAGCGTTGTTGACCAGAGCATCCAGCCGACGTTCACCTTGGCCAGAGAAAATAACACCATTGATGTCAAGATATGCGGGAATATTCTAAGAACAAAATTTCTCTCTAAATACAGCCTAGACTCAATGCACAATTAGATGGTACAGTGCTTGATTTCTATAATAAATAGCTACTGCCATACTGCTAAGCATAACTAGATATAAACCCACATCAATTTTAAAAATGACTCCTATTCATCACAGCAGCACCAGAAGCATCTAATGAAAACTTAGGATAGCATAATCACCAATGTTTCAGAAGAGATTTATAGTTATTCTACTGAACATCATACTTTACCAAGGAATGTATTTAACATCAAACTTCATGATTATTGGAGCATGATTAGACCTTCTGCACTCAAAGTTTCCATATATACTGTATAATGTCTTCTATATAAGGGCATAATGGCATTCAGAACTTAAAATTTTTGACATTTGGAGAAGAGTTATGGCTCACAGTACAGTACAGTACAGTATACCATCACTGTAGCTGAACTTAAGGTTAAATTATCTTGTATCGTACATACTGTATTCCACAGCTCACTTACATTTTAAGAACGCCTCGACAAATACTCGTATAGAGGAGAAATCAGTAAGATCAAGATGCAAAAAATAAACAGCCTGATTTCCAGTTGCTTTGCGCAGCTTCTTTACGGCCTTGTCTCCAGCCTTGTGATTACGGAATGCCAAGTAAACAACTGCACCTGTAAGAAGTTCAAGAAGATATATATATACCCTGTATATATATATACCTGTATATATATACCTGTATATATATATATATATATATATATATATATATATATATATATATATATATATATATATATATATATATATATATATATATATATATATATATATATATATATATATATATATATATTCATTCTAGAGACAGTAATTTCTTTTACCTGTATTGTATACAGTATATGTGTATATATGTGTGTTGACACACACACACACACACACACAAAACACATACAAATAGATAATAATGGGAAAATCCTCTCAGAAATAATCAGAAACAATGTATTAAAAATGTGAGAGTCTACCCTCAAGTCAGCTCCATGCTTTGTTATTAATAACACATTTTTAATACATTTGTTTCTGATTACACACACACACATATATACAGGTAAAAGAAATTACTGTCCAAAGGGCAAACACATAAAGTGAATACAGTAGTACCCCGATTTACGCGGTCAATTGAACCCACGGGGTACCGCGGAAAGTGAAAACCGCGTAAAGTGAACAACAGAACATATGGGATTAATTCCAATAGAGACTGGCCCGACCCCCAAACTCCACTTTTTCCGACACAATACCTATGTTGTAGTAAAAATAACATCTTAATTTTATGATGGTATGCACACAATTAATATTTAAGAGAAATAGTCGCCAGGTTAATGTCCATTCAAATAATGGACTCAACTCACCCCCCCCTTCTTCCCAGCTCACTAGCTCCTACCTCTCTGAAAAATGTTTGGGTGAAAACAGTAGATTTTAGGTATAGTAATAAATAATACCTCAGACTAAAGTTAGGATAATATAATTGACATTTCTGGATTCCTTGTAGGTCAGGGAATATTTTGAATGTAAACTTCATATATTTTGCACAAATGATAAAATATTTGCTTTGTGTAAAACAAATTATTACATTAGATCTAAAATTTGTATGTCTAATGCAAAATCCATGATGTTTATATTCAAAATGATCATCATACAGTATTGTAAGAATTCCACCAATGTAAATTATATTCTGGCCAGGTAATTTGTATGAATTTTATGAGCTAAATAAAAAATTATACTTCACCTGAGTAGATGCACCGCGGAAAGTGAAAGTCCGGTTCTGGCGAGGTACCATGTAAATGAGAAATCGCGGAAAGTGAAACTGCGTAAAGAGGGGTAATACTGTACACGTATAAATTTTTTTGCACACAAATAAAAATACAACCCCCCCCCTCCCCTGGTCCGCAAATGTTATTCGCGGCCATTTTGAGAACCTAACCCCAGCAAATTTTAAGGGCATGCTGTATTTTCTTTACCTGATGACTATACCGGAATCACCACCATCATATCATATCTCAATTCATTAGATGATTCTTTCCTAATGATTCACAGCATTTCTGTTGACTACTTTATGAAGGAGGAGGGAAGGCATAGAAGGATTAGGAAGCATAGTAAAGGAAGCAGTAAATGGCAGGAAAAGGAACATCAAGGAAACAGCCAAGTACATAATATGACCAGGAAACAACACTGAAGGATGTTTACCTTTTTTGGCCAGATCAAGCGCTGTAGAATGGCCAATACCACTGCTGGAGCCAGTGACAATGACCACTTTTTCCCGTACTCTGTTCTGACAATGGCATGTCACAGGAGTCGTCAATCTGCCAAGAGTATAAACAAAAATTAAAACAACTACTACACAAAATTAATGACTTTGGTTAGAAGACTGATGGTATTTTTGGAGTGCTGTACACAGTACTGTACAGTTATAGACAATCAAGAACTAATGTACTGTCTCAATTATTTTGTAGTACATTAATGTGTGTTCTATTATGGCTTCTTTAAATACAATAAACTGAAATAAATGTATAGTACTGATCAACGACAGTACTGTACATGAATACAGGCAATTACTGTTATACGATGGATCAATATACGCTTGATCAGTTTTAAAACGTAAAAAAATAATACCATTTACGACCATGCGAGGGCTAAATAACAGTTTTAATTCGCGGTCCTCTATATTCATGGATGACACTCTGGATACACCCAAGAATGTATGCTGGTAATTTTAAAGTTGCTTGCATTTTTGCGGCTAGGACAGGGAGCCATTCATTCTAGAGACAGTAATTTCTTTTACCTGTATTGTACAGTATATATGTACAAAGCATGGAGTTTACTTGAGGGTAGACTCTCACATTTTTGCTACATTTTGATACATATTGTTGTCTTGTTTCTGATTACTTGTGAGAGGATTTCCCATTATTATTTACTTTTATGTGTCTGTGTGTGTCTACACACTCACATATATACAATACAGGTAAAAGAAATAATTGTCCTAAAGGCAAACACACAAAGGGAATACAGGTTGGGTATCCTTTATCTGAATGCTTGGGGCCTTGAGGGTCTCGGATTTGGTATTTTTTTGGATTTTGGAATGCTTATATCCTGTATACAGAACCTGTATAATGGAGTAGCTCACCCAGCAGGGATGGGGCCCAAGTCTATGTACCTCACCAAGATGCCCGATTCTGAGGCACTAAGCAGCCTGTCTTACCTTTATTCATTACACATACATATTTACCCCAGTAAAAATTATGATATATGACATATTCAGCGTATTGTATTATCTACCATAAACATAGTGAAATAGACTTTCGAATTTCAAAGCATTTCGGACTTGGGGAATTTTGGATAAGGGATACCCAACTTGTATACCTTTCTTTGCACACGAGTAAACATGTACCCTGCCCTCCTTTGGTCAGCAAATGATATTTGCGAATTTGGCTATTCGTGGCCATTTTGACACCCAAACCCCTGCGAATTTTAAGGACATGTTGTACCAGTAAATGTCGGCAATAAATAAAAATAATAGTATAATAACAAAAAAGAAAAAAAATACTGCATTGCCATTTGGCCATCTCGTCAGTAGCCAGAGACAGCAGAGCCATGAGAAAGTCAATCCCTCCCTTGTGCTCGCTCCTACACCTGTAATCAATGTTTAATGCCTTTATATTTTTTACCCATGATAATTTTTTTGTGACATTCTGTATTCATGAATGTGTGCATGTAAGAGAGTAAAATAAATTGAAGAGAACTACTAATACTGTATCTCCAAAACACGAGTTGAAGAAAAACAATAACGCTCCTTCTGCCTCTCCCACAATCTACGCACTTATTCCACTGGTTGTAAGAAATGTTTATTATCTTATAATAATAATTTTTTTTTTTTTTGCACATTCTCTATGAACAGTTGTGTGCATGTAACAGAGTTAAAGAAAATGATTAAAGTTCTGTATATCTTCAGTACTTGAAAATATGAATTTAAAAATAACAATAATGCAGCCCACACCACCCACCACCACACCACCCACCACCACACCACCCACCACCACACTACCCACCACCACACCACCCACCACCACACTCCTGTCACCACCACTCTCTCATCATCACCACCCACCACCACACTACCCACCACCACACCACCCACCACCACACCACCCACCACCACACTCCTGTCACCACCACTCTCTCGTCATCACCACCCACCACCACACTCTCGTCATCACCACCCACCATACCGGTAATTCCCCCCCACCACCACCACCACCAACAATCACCATAATCACCAGCAACACTCCTCATCACTACTAACCAAGGCTGTATTTGGGGGGGCGGGTTATGAGGATGAACCCCCCAAAGAAAAATATAAATAAAAATAAGAATCAGCATACCTGTATTTTTTAATTTGGTCGGCACCTTAACTCACAGTGGGCTATATAAACTACTATTAAGGAGCGGTGCCGACGCTGTATCTTATCATCAATAGAAACACTTAAATGAGTAGGCTAAATATTCTTATAGATTCTTTTAAACATCAAATATTCAATTAAATTCCAACATGGCTGCCAGTTCTGTACACTGGGGGTATTTTATTACTTAAATCACAATTTTACCTTGAAATATACATTGTGAATTGCAGGTATAAATTATTGTACACCAAATAATATACTGTAACTTAAATGGAGAGAGAAAGAGGTGTTTGGCAGTCTTATTATGTCATATGTTTGTGGTATACAGTATAGCATTTATTGACTGAAAGCCAGCAACTCCCTGCTGAATTCTACTGAACACACTGAAAGCCTGGAACCTTCTGCTGAATTCTATTGAATATACTGAGTTAGTGATTATCATTTTCTCCTCCAGCTTTTGTATAGTGTAGTTATTTTAGCAATACAGTACAGTATAATATGTAATAAAAAAAACATGTTATACATTAGCTAGGCAAGAGATGCAAAGAGAGATGCTTATTATACAATTACACAAGTACCTGTACTGGTAAATGACTAAATGGCATTATTTGTTGTTGCATGGCAGGTTCAAATGAAAGGTACAGAGTACTCTGTCAGCCTCTGTTTTGAAAAGAAACAAGCAGTCACTTGAACAGAATAAAGCTGAAGACCCTATACAGCCTAAGCCTATACTGCAGGAGTCTGATGAACATGACGATGGGCAGGACTCTACCTATGATCTATCTACTTCAGAAGAAGCACACCCTTCAACAAGCCATTGTCTGAATTCTAATAATGGCAAAGTATGGCATTGGGAGAATTATTGGTGTTAAAGTTAATGATGCTACAAAAGATAAATTGTTGCAGTCCCCATGGACACTTGCTCATTCTTATAAGTTCCCAGAGAACCCCAAGAGACAGTTAAAGTTTCTGTTGGCGTGGTTGGAAAGGTTACCCTGGCTAGCTTATTCTAAAAAACTTGAAGGTAGTTTTGGAAGAGAAGTGTCCTTTGTGGTACAGTTTTTGTTTAAAACATACTTGTTATTTTCTGCCAAAAATCATTTACCCTTAATGCCACAATAATATAAACATAATTAAAGGATTATTTGTTTTTATGTCTCAGAGAGTAAATGTCTCAAGCAGCTCTTCAGTCTTCTGTCCCCCCACTCCCAACATAATTTCTAGATGTGGCCTTGCCACTAACATTCACCACCACCACCACCACTCATCACCACCAACATACTACCACCACCACTCACCCTCACCAACACACTACAGTACCACCACCACTCACCACCATCAACAATCACCATAATCACCACCAACAATCACCATCAACATTCATCATCACCATAACATTCACCACCACCAACACACAACTACTCACCATCATCACCAACACCCCCCCCTCCTGCTCTGCTCTCCCCTTTCTCTTCTCACGATCGGACACTAACTACCGCTGGTGTAAGAAATGTTTATCATATCTATGTTTTTGACCTTTTGATAATTAATAACTTCTTTTATGTTTTTTTTGCACATTCTGTATGAACAATTGTGTGTACATGAAACAGAGTAAAATAAATTGAACACAAATACGTATATCTACTAAAAATTCTGAGTTGAAAAATAACAATAAGACAGCTTCGCCTGGTAGGAGGAGGGATAAGGCGATGTAGCTAAGGTGACATCCAACTTGGGGACCTGCCATCACACATGTTCACGTAAGGTAAATGAAATTATTTTGTATAAATTTATTGATGTTATGTGTATTTATAAATTATTTGAGTTATTTAGACATTATTTAATCATTATAGCAGCAGGTTATAAAACTTGTTTGAGCTCTTCAGGGGCTCAGGAACAGAAGCTATTTTTCACCATAAGTTATTAATATCAATAGATCACTTAGCGATGGCTTTTTAGGTCCCTAACCCCACCTTATAACAGTCATTGCCTGTATGTACTGTTGTTAAATTAAATAGTTTTCTATGATGATAAATTATGAGTCGTTAATTGTTTGGTGATATGCAAATCAGAGCGGCAATACTGTACATTTAGGATGAAAAAGAATTCATTTATGGATATACTGTACTACAGAGAGGTCTTGAACCATGAGACTGATGAGTTGCAATAACAAAAATTACCACAAGGGAATCATAACAATATAAATAATGCTAAATAAGAATCTATATTTTTCTTGATTTTCAACACACACAGAACTGTACAGTACTTTATAAGTAATTTTTGACTACTGTATTATTGTACTACTTAATAATGTCACTTCACAGTACCACAAAAGAACAATGGCTGCCTGTGTCTTCAAGCTGGTGAAAGTTCTACAGTGACAGACTTTTAACATGCAAATTCTTACGTGCAGTGAAAACCCAACTTGGAAGATAAAAGTATAAGTGATTATTTTAAATATAGATACCCTTTAAGTACAGTTTCTCTTGAATCTTCACTAAATATCAAAACTCCTACAGTACAGAAATCAAGAGTCAAAATTTTTCTATTTGCATACACTGACACAGTAATGATATTGACAGTATTAAAACTTTATCTTGGAGTATTACTTTATTATTTTTGTTTAATAATATCATTCAATAAGCATTGCTAAACAATTGTACTTAGGAAAAAAATAGGTCCCACTTGCTTAGCTAGTAATAAAGAGCAGTGTATACAAAGACATACAGTAAAATTTTCTGTTATGCCATAAAAAATATTGGCAAATTTTTCCTGTAAATGGTAGGATCTGTTTTCTCTTAAGTTTTCATAGTGATTCAAATTCCTTTATGTGTCAAGACTGATTATATAATTAACTAATACAATACAACAAATGTAAACTGTAGCACACATACAGTACAGTATCAGTATAAAATATGAGTATATAGTACATATGGTGGCTATGCTAATGTATCTAACCAAAAATATTTAGCATCTACAGCAGCACAAGGAGAGCAACTACATGAAACTTTAAGTCGATATATATATATATATATATATATATATATATATATATATATATATATATATATATATATATATATATATATATATATATATATATATATATATATATATATATATATATATATATATATATATATATATATATATATATATATATATATATATATATATATATATATATATATATATATATATATATATATATATATATATATATATATATATCCTAGTCCAGATTCACTCTCTTCTTGTTAATCACACAGCCAGTCTAAATCATCACCATACCCTCAAAATTATGGTATTGACATTTAACATAGAACAAGGTACAAAACATTCCATTATAACCCGAGATGACATGCAAGTTCACAAGTAAGGTCGAGAAGCAAGATATAAACACACATGTAATTATCATAAGTGGTTGTCTATGGTCTGTTAAATGAAATGATTCAAAGAAATAATGTAACACAATATCACTATGTTAACCATTTAAAGAAAGCTCTTCAACTGTCATCAAGTTATTTTTAAATCTTTCAGTAGTACAAGATTGGATACTTTGTCATAATCACTTCAAAATAATAAATCCTGAATTGAAGGACTGAGAAAAGAAACCCCACATTTTATGAGTAAGAGAAGTGTGTGACCGGTGAGGTCCATACTGATAACTGCCCTCTGACAAAGCTCACTTTTAGCCAGAACTGACCGATTTAGTGGCAAGTAAGAGTATCTACTACTAAATATCACTTTTTGTTGCCAGCAGCAAAATGTTAAAAAAATTACAAGAGGCTACAACTATTACTCCTTAAAATGTGTAATAAAGGGAAGCTGAAATGCCTTATTGAGAGCAGGAGCACCAGATATCGTTCATATGGTGCAGTGGCAGGAGCTCAGAGCATCTGCACACAAATTTTCATTTAGAGCTCTTGAGAAGTTCAAAGTGTGTGAACAACTAAGTGGGTTTTGATTCTATAACCTGAATTTTTGCTGAGCTTTGAACTAACCACTGGTTTACATGGAATTGATGTGACAGTGAGCCACCTGGGTAAGAAATACTGCTTAGTACAGAAGAATATCTAACAAAATTTGAGAGTACTGTACTGTTAATTGGTTCATAAGAAAATCCTGTTGATACATAATTCAAAAGGTGGGCTTTACAGGTGGGTGTTCAGCAGTATGGGTCTCATAGGTCATAAAATGTAACAGATAAAACAACCACAAAGATGGTCACTCTGTATATGGACTAGAAGTCAGGCAAAACATGTTCATGGCACACATTATCAACTCACTTCAACCATCGCTTCAGAAGTGTAAGTCCAGCGGCAACTGTGAAGCGCAATGCAGACACCAAGTAAGCCAGGAAAACTGTAAGCATCCTGAGTGTAACCACTTCCAGGTGTCAACACTTGCTAGGTCCAGGCACAGTCACCCTATTTAATTTTCTTAAACAGGCTTATGCAACATACACACGTTAATGTTCATGTATGAAATGAAATGCTATTCACAGACACAAAGGGAAGCTTAACCACTGACAATAAAGATAATTAGATGCTGAACACTTCATTCAATTTGTTGTGTTATATACAATGAAGAAATCAGTGGTTTTGACTTTATTGAAGAGCATCATCATTACTCGAGACTCTTGAGAGTTCAGTTAGAGGCCAAATGTTCATTATCATCCATTATCACACCAATTTATACCATAATATTACACACAATCACCTTTATACTTCACGTAGTAGAAAAAGATGTAAAAAGAACAATAATAATAAAAAAAGGACAAATTTTTCTAATAATTTATATTCTGGGGAGACAGATGCTCCATTATGAATATTAACACCATCATTAAGGTTGTGGAAACATGATCAGACTAATACCATACTGGACACCAGTTACATTTGAGGTGATGTACAGTACCTACACTTTGCACATACACAGTACTGTACTGTAATTAGAATCTTAATAACATCAACACTTTTTTTAATTTACCCCAAATCAGTCAATTATCTTCATCAGTGAATGGAGTCTTTTGTTTCTCAGACTACAGTACTAGCCATGTGTTGAAATGTTTTCAGTGACTGCCTCTGATTACTGAACCCAATTAAATTTATGTAGAGCCTCACTAACCCATTACAGCTTTTGTCCAGATCAGTCAAAGGTCGAGGCAGATAGTTATTAATTGATTCATGAGGATTCCAGAAGTGTCCACAGTAAGCTAAATCTTAAGAGAGAATCATAGAAGATGAGAGTGAGGCTACCACAGGTTATATGACTGACCAGTATCATGAAGGATAAGTGTACAGTTGTCCACAGGTATAGTGCTCCACCTCTTGGCGGCCAAACCAAACATGTGACGCAAATTTCCAATACACTACAAATATTGCCCCCAAAAATATATTGTTAGCCACACGTTCAGAAAAGCTACCAAGGGGTGGAACCCTATACCTGTGGGCAACTGTACATTTTACTTACATACAGTATTTTGCCATTATCCTTGAGAATATTAAGAGTGTAATTTACTATTGTCAGAAAGTATTAGATGTCAATCCTGCAAGGCTGATAAAACACAGTGGTGTGTAATCCTAAGAAGCACGTAAGCATTGCTTACCCTGTAAAAATTCTTCCCTTCAGAATTCAAATCTCTTTGTTTAGTTAATATATTATTTAAGTGTACAGTACCTATACAGTATTCTGCATTTTTGTTATTAAAGTTTCAGTGAATTTAAACCTGCTGTAATAGGAGTCGACTTTAGAAACTTGCAAGACAGAAGAGTTTGTCAGTTGAAAATATGTCCCTTGAATATGCAACATTCGATTTGCAGTAGCCTCTTCTGCCCTCTTGCAGGATAAAATGATATACCACTGCCAGATGTAAGTTGAAAACTATTAATTTAAATTATATTAACCCACTTTTTCACAAATCCATGTAAATAGGATGCTGATGCTGGAATTGCCACTCAATAATATTTGCTAGAGATTTTGGCAATGAAAGCATACCATACTCCTGGTTGTCCCTTCCCAACTACTACCTGATACAGCACTGCAGCATTACCAGATTAAGCATAAATAGTTTATATAATGTGTGCATTTCAATTTAGCATAACCCATGCAAAATGATTTACTTCATTGGGAATAAATCTGAAATAAGTTATAAATTATTTCAGATTTATTCCCAACTTATAATGTACTTAAGATTGCTAATTGTCTAACAAAAATCTTATCCTAAATGAAGGTTAAAGATGAACAAAAATAACTATTACCATAATCATCTAACTTTTTGTTCTGTTTCAGTTTCATAGACTACTAGACTAGCAGTATAAAGTAGTTAACAATGTAATTTGTTTAGCCCAGCAGTTTTTCATGCCATGCCACTGTCTACAATGTGTTCCATAAACACTTTTAAAATATCAGGGGGTGTGTTCCTGACATAAATAAAAGATAAATGACTAAATGACCAAATTGACAATTCTCAATACTTGTACAATAGTTTTTGAGTTACAGCACATGACAGATTTGGGTAGGAATGTGATGAAACCTACAGGTTGTAAATGAAACATCCAATGGACAGAATGAAACACATTCATATCCCACACAATGTAAAATCTTCACAATGGAAATGATAACATGATGTTAATTATGTGTGCAGTCTCTGATACTGGATTGTTATCACCTGTTACATGACCAAATGACATAATGAGCAGGGGCATGTGTGGGTGGTGATCGGAGGAGGGAGAGTGAGGGCTAACATACCAAACTTATGTAAGGTGGTTGTTTAAGGTTGGCTGTCCACTTTCTTCCCTGCAGTGGTCGTCAGCTGAACGTCTGCATCAACCAGGGTTGGGTGACCACACGGAAGAGGACATGCAGGAATATTCATTTGGTGAATAATATGCAGATATGCACCTGACACTGTGTGTGGCTGGTGGAAATGCAGCAGAGGCAGTATGGCTGTACAGGGAATGTTACTCAAACCGCAGAATGCCATCACATCCAACATTTCATCACATTCCTCCCAAACCTGTCATGTGCTGTAACTTCTGTATTGAGAATTGATAATTTGGTCATTTATCTTTACTAATGTCTCTGGAATACACCCCCTGATTTATGAAAGGTGTTCATGGAACATCCTGTATATATACAGCTAGAGAATTTTAAATTTCATAGAAAAGTACTGTAGTCATTTACAAAATTTTAATTCTACATTTATTAATGTGAAACATATATTATTTACAAAATCACTAAGCAATAATATGTGTGCCCTTATCAGAAAAAACTTTCAGTGTAATATACTACCTGTACTGAAATTATTAGTCTATGTCAAGCGGTGTCTTTTACTACTAAATTTAAGTACCTCCCAATATATGAATGAAGATATTACCGGGTACTTATGAAGTCCACTGAAAGTACTGTTTAACAGTCTGCTTACTAGAGAATGATATAAAAGCACAAGTAAAAATGTTTGGGGAATGAGAGATGGTTTTGAAGTAGATATAACTAAGACTGTGTAACTACTGCATAATTTTTTAACAATGTCATTCACCTCTATGAAAACATATCCTGACTGACTCACAAACTTTTTTGACCAGTCTGTTTTGTCCAATGTCATTGCTGTTTATATGTGGGTGAAGTAGATAGTGAGATAAAGGTGTGTGGGTGAAGTAGATAGTGAGATAAAGGTGTGTGGGTGAAATAGATAGTGAGATAAAGGTGTGTGGGTGAAGTAGATAGTGAGATAAAGGTGTGTGGGTGAAGTAGATAGTGAGATAAAGGTGTGTGGGTGAAGTAGATAGTGAGATAAAGGTGTGTAGGTGAAGTAGATAGTGAGATAAAGTGAAGTAGATGAGAAGAGGTGTGTGGGTGAAGTAGATAGTGAGATAAAGGTGTGTGGGTGAAGTAGATAGTGAGATAAAGGTGTGTGGGTGAAGTAGATAGTGAGATAAAGGTGTGTGGGTGAAGTAGATAGTGAGATAAAGGTGTGTGGGTGAAGTAGATAGTGAGATAAAGGTGTGTGGGTGAAGTAGATAGTGAGATAAAGGTGTGTGGGTGAAGTAGATAGTGAGATAAAGGTGTGTAGGTGAAGTAGATAGTGAGATAAAGGTGTGTGGGTGAGGCAAGAGCCATGCAAGAGTTAAATGGCAGGAGAGGTCCCTGGTAACAGACTTTATTGTTCTGATGATTATTGTTCTTTTGGCCAAGAGCCCCATAACATAAACAATCAGCGAGAGAGTTAAATAATATTTTAAAGGAGATTAGTTAATGTCTGTAGAACGAATGACATCAACAACAATAGAAAACAAGGCATTTTTAAGTCACATCACAAGGGTTTGAAGAGCAGATAAGGAGTAACAGAACCAGGTGCATGTGCAGGAGTAACAGAACCAGGTGCATGTGCAGGAGTAACAGAACCAGGTGCATGTGCAGGAGTAACAGAACCAGGTACATGTGCAGGAGAGCCGGGTGCATGTGCAGGAGTAACAGAACCAGGTGCATGTGCAGGAGTAACAAGAACCAGGTGCATGTGCAGGAGCACAGAACCAGGTATGTGCAGGAGTAACAGAACCAGGTGCATGTGCAGAACAGAACCAGGTGCATGTGCAGGAGTAACAGAACCAGGTGCATGTGCAGGAGTAACAGAACAGGTGCATGTGCAGTAACAGAACCAGGTGCATGTGCAGGAGTAACAGAACCAGGTGCATGTGCAGGAGTAACAGAACAGGTGCATGTGCAGAAGACCAGGTGCATGTGCAGGAACAGAACCAGGTGCATGTGCAGGAGTAACAGAACCAGGTGCATGTGCAGGGTGTGCAGGACCGGTGCATGTGCAGGAGTAACAGAACCAGGTGCATGTGCAGGAGTAACAGAACCAGGTGCATGTGCAGGAGTAACAGAACAAAGGTGCATGTGCAGGAGTAACAGAACCAGGTGCATGTGCAGGAGTAACAGAACCAGGTGCATGTGCAGGAGTAACAGAACCAGGTGCATGTGCAGGAGTAACAGAACCAGGTGCATGTGCAGGAGTAACAGAACCAGGTGCATGTGCAGGAGTAACAGAACCAGGTGCATGTGCAGGAGTAACAGAACCAGGTGCATGTGCAGGAGTAACAGAACCAGGTGCATGTGCAGGAGTAACAGAACCAGGTGCATGCAACAGAACCAGGTGCATGTGTAACAGAACCAGGTGCATGTGCAGGAGTAAACAGAACCAGGTGCATGTGCAGGAGTAACAGAACCAGGTGCATGTGCAGGAGTAACAGAACCAGGTGCATGTGCAGGAGTAACAGAACCAGGTGCATGTGCAGGAGAGCCGGGTGCATGTGCAGGAGTAACAGAAATAGACTCACATTTTCAGAGTCAATATGCCATACCGGGTAAAGATTAGAAGAATATATACTGTATCTATAGTAAAAAAAATAAATAAATAAAAATTATTCATGCACTTACAAATACCGCAAGACAACACATTAACCAAGAAAATACACAATATTCCGTGAATAAAAAATGTGCTTGTGAAATTACGAGTTCACTTAAACTGTTGTGTACATTTAAAAGTTTTACACAATCTATGGTAAGACTTCCTTCTCCTAAGACCCTCCCAAGTATATGATGGTTTTGTCTCTTCATTATAAAGGTCTGTAGCTATTATAATAGTTGGGGCTGTGGATTTTTTTATTTGAAGACATTTAGGTTAGAGTTTCCTCTTTCAGTGCTCACAATTGTTTCTGAATGACCAGTGAAAAAGGAGTCTTTCCTTAAGTTTAAGCTCATGCACAAAGTTTCTTAAGAATGGTTGAGAGAAAAACATCTCACTTGCATCCTAGCTTGGAGAGCTGCACAACAGTCAAGGTGGGAAGAGAGAAAAAATAAACACATAAAAAACCTATTCAAGAATTATCTAAACAATTTACTCAATGGTTAACTATTTAAAAGTACAGGTATAGAGCTACAGGTATTCAAAACTTCTGCTTGTGTATAAAATTATGTAGACTTTGTCTGTAGTGTACCTGTACATGCATTATGACAGAATCTATCATACACCTATAGTATATGCTATACGGTATTATTCTACAGCTCATTCAAACTAGACAGTATTGTATATACAGTACCAGGTAAAATTATGCAATACAATAACAGTTTGTACTAGTATTATAAAGAAAACAGTGCTGTACGTTTGAAACTCACAACATTACATGCAGCAAGCACAGAGCTCAAAAACTACCATAATCTTGTTTTACAAAAGCCTATATATTAGAGAGTAATTCACAATCCTACCATATGTCTAGAAGAGGCAATGGCATCCCTACTATTCAAAAATTACTTACAGAATCACCCATATAAAATAAAAGATGATTTGGCAATTCACTTTCAATCTTCATTTTAAAATTTTTTTCACTAGAAGTTGAATTGTAGTTAAAAACCATGTATTGTACAGCTGAACTTGAACATAGCATGTTTTCCATACCTTATTACCATAAAAATGGAATACCAGTTTCTTTTATTTGGTGTTAATCACTGACAGTCAATCAAATACAGTGCAGTACCTAACTCATCCTTTTTTTTTTGAGAATTTTGATCAACAATAATAGCACACAGGCAATGATTGTTTCAGACCGATTCAGGTGTCACTCTTGCAACTTGGTAACCCTTGTGAATGAAAAACCTACAAAATTAAAGTCTAACTGGACAAGCAAATATAGTACAGTATTCAGATTGCTAAATCTTGACTTCTAGGAAGCTGGAGACCATATACATTGTACTGTATGGTTCTTTGCTTTCATAAATTAATGTTCTATAAAGTCATAAAACAATCCATGTGGATCCAATAGTAGAAAAGGGTTATGTACAGTTTTGGGGCTGCCACCTTAACAACTAGTTTAGACTCGTGATTTCCTCAACATTAACCTATTTTCATTACCTAGTAGCTTACAAACCTGGAGTAGCTTGATGCATAATATTACTTTTCCCCCTCTATGTTACTCTCCCCTTTTCACTGTCTGTGTGTCTTCAGCCTTCTGGTGAATTAAATCACTAATTTATGTCTCAGTTTACCAGGAACAAAACACTGAGTGCTGCCAAACCTGAGCACATTCCATACTGTACTGTATCTCTCATTGGTTCTCTCTTGCTAGGGTCCGACTAATTACCCAAATGTAGCCAAATATAGCCGGAATGAAGTCAAATAATGGTCCTAGATGAATAAATCGGACTGCCAATTACTTCTCGACTAGTATTTGTGTGTAAACACAAAGTACACAAAATAATAATCAGGTAACACCTTAATTTAATACTGAGTTACATAGATCGAGTAAGTTTACCAATTTTTTGTGACTTTCTGACACCTAAGTCAGTATTTACTTTCTAGGACCATTACTACTTCTCGACTAGTTGATTTGGGGTGTCATCAGTCATGGTGAAGCTAATTCTTGTTACCTTATATTTCAACATACTGGAGAAACATAATCATGAGCTACACATATGTCTATACAATCATATAACTAGTACTATAAAACTAATTAGTCCTTAAATTACGTTTGGATACATTTATCTTTAATGATGAATGAAGTCTTCTTACTCAAAGGATTCCAGATGAGATGAATAATTATCAATGAACTATGGTGAATATAATCTTGGAGAATCGCTAAATAAGCTCACAAAAGGTTTAAATATTAAATATATAAAGCATTTAAAATTCACATTAATATAATAAAAGTCCAATCGTAGTAACTATGACTAGCATCGTGCTGGTCCTCTTCTCCTCACACCTCAACACACACTAAACGCCGCCTTCTACTGCCCTACAGACCTTCTCCTTTACAACTTGGAACCAGTCCTGAAACGCCTGAGGGAAGAGGGCATAAAATATAGTAGACATGAACCTCACACAATGAAAAACATAATTAAAGTGCAAAATCACGTACATGACCGGGGTGATGGCAGAGGACCTGTCTCGTTTAATGTCGGTTCACGAAGTAGTCTTTTATATTTATAATTCTTTTATAATCGAGGAATATCTATGATTCTTTACCTATTTTACTATAAAATATTTCTATTAAATTTATAAATGGTGATGTTATTGATAAAATTAATTGAATAAATATAAAATATGTAACTTATCTGATCATTGTGAGGAGGATTTAAGTAACACAGGTCGTAAATATTATGATTGTGAATGATAGTTTCCCTTTAAATATCGTTTTATTTCAAATATACACATAACATAACACTTGGCAAACTCTTTAAAGCTATCTCATTAAAGTACAACTGACATAAAATGAAATACACAAATATGAACTATTACCGTGTTGACAACAAGTATCACCACATACTGTAGACACCAACAAGCTCCCTCTAGCATAATGAATGAAGCATTATGACTCTATCGCTCAGAGCCAAAGGTCATTCACACTTACACTTTAAAGACCAAGAGACGTGATCATACCCACTTCAGCTGCTTGCCAACTCCTAAGTTCCTGTAATTGTAGTTTTGTTTCACAGCCAACTATTAAATTGTTAAATATTGTTATTCTTATTGTTGTCTCATCATATTATATACATAACTACAAAATATATGTAACATCAAATAACTGCCATTAAATAAATCAATTAGGTCATTCAGGAGGTTCTTTTAGAAAAATTTTACCCCAAAAGTTAGGGTATAATTTTTTTAACTGTGAGAGCTATGCCACTCGTAGTTCGTGGCGTCACTAGCAGTAACTTCTACACAAGTCTCAAGGTCCCTTACATGTATCTTGTGGTCAGGAAATGGAACTCTTAGCGAATGCCTATAATACTCTTCTGTTGGCTCAGTGGGAACAGTCTGCCTCTCCAGTCTCCCCCACAGCCCGAGAACAGACTTTGTGGTAGTCTTCTGCTTCTTTCCGGAAATCCTGAAGGCACGACGTAATTAACACACATCTGGCGAAATACTCAACCAACTTCATGACTTCTACTTTGCAGAGACTTATTGAAGCCTTTGATGTAAGGAAGACACTTGTATATAATGAAGTCAATCCACAGTATGGAAGCTTTTAACTGGGACGGGTCTGTTAGAAATGACCTATGAGGATGACTCATGACGTCAACTTTATTGCATCGGCGCCCAATATCCTCCAAAATCATATTAATAACAAAGATAAGAAGCTAATAGAGAACTATACATGTATTTTTCAATACAATTAATACTTTAGCAGTTATTTTTCTTTTATTTATTTTTTAATATGGCGGCTATTTTTGAAGATGGTGTCTTGAAAAATAGCCGCCATCTTGAAAAATGACAGCCAACACTCGTGACACCCGCCTCCACCATCATACCCTTCGCCAGTTATGTAAGAGATCGTTTAAAGTGTCACCTACATTTTGATAGCATCATATCAGTAAGGTAAGCATGGTAGTTTACACTAATGAAAATTTGCTTACCATACTGATATAATGCTATCAAAATGTAGGTGGTCAGTGAACATGTTTGCATGGATAAATAACTTTCAAAAGGTATTTTCTTTCTGTTTCTAAAAGCTATCTATACTAACGTGTTTAGGGGTAATTGTTGACTTTACACCTTAGCTGACCACTGATTAATTGCCTGGTCTGTATGTTCTGGGAGGTGGGGTAGGGATGGACTCAGCAAAGTTGCTGTTTACGAATTTCGAGGCCACCAGTCTGTGTCTTATAAGTGGCGTGAACTGTACCATAAGGTTGTGCTCACTCCCTCTAGATTGCTTTAGTCTAACCTAACCTAACCTAAATATGTTGTTGCCCGGACTAAAGTAGCACATTGAAGTGAAAATCCTGTAAGCGTAACTCACCCTCTACCCCACTTACTATGCCCGGTGCCTATAGTGATCATCACAGCCCTGATTTACAAAGTGATCTCTTGCATTCATGTCAAGATGAACCTCACTATAATATCCAAGGGTGTAATATCCTTTGTCTACATACTGTATAGACAGAAATACTTGTATAAATTCGGGCTTTTTACACATTGTGTTTATATAGAACACACTACCTGGATTTACCAACACGTCATATCCTGTTATGTTCTACACAGGAATTCACAGCTTTAAAACTGAATTTCTTGTCACGTTGGTAGGTGACATTTGTATCACCTTTAACTTCAAGCCTCAGTAAAACCTATAGAGTAAGCATTTAACTCACCTCCGAGACAGCCACCACACCTCACATAAACCCAGCAGACTGATCTATTTTTATAATAAATTGATAAGGACACTAAGTGTTTACTTTGAGCATGAACACTCTGAAATAATACAAACATGTATTACTTGTTGCTCCTAGTGTATTAAATATCAAGACATAATATCTTCGAGCAACAGAATCAAGAATGGAGCCGAAGTGCAGTTACCAACCTTCACTAGAGTTCCAAGTGAGGTGATTATATACTGTACTCTTAGAATTCTGCGCCCCAAGGTCTCATTAAAGTTTTCCCAGGTGTATAACCAATTATTCATGGCCAGAACAAGTGACACTGTATGAGCACCAAGAAATGCAATGTGGATATGATATGCAAGAAAAACAAACAAAACAAGTGAGGGAACAATCTTACTGAGTGATCGACAACGTCTTCACCACCATATCTAAAGTTACATTTTCGTTTGAGATTTTTAATTCACCTCGTAGAGTGTTCACGTACTCCGTCATCTGCTCCAACTCGTGGTCGTCGACAGCGTCCACGTCCCAGAGTGGAAGGTTTTTGGGACGTAGATGGGAATACTGGGAGTAAGGGACGCCCACCAAATACAGTGTAGCATTGCTGGAGAAACGGACTATGTGTACTCCCTGGTGGTGACCTTGCTCAGACATAGACCACGTTTTCAAACACTCAGCCAAGATGTAGAATTGGTAAGGGTCTGGTTGGCCATATCCTTTCTCCATGATGTCCAGTCTATAGTAAAAGACGTACAGAGACGTGAACGGAGGCGAGGGGAGGAATGTGGCGCGACAAGGGTTGCCTCTAAGTGGTGAGGCCATGCTTATGTTTAGGCTGAGTTCTCGCTGCCAAGACGACAACTGGAGCTTCCCTACATCGCGCAACTCGACGGGAACTCTCTTAACTAGCGGCTTCGTCAGGAAGAACTTCTCTTTGAGGTGGGCGTCAGTGTTAACACCGAAGCCGAAGTGTAGTGTGCGACTCACTTCCGGGAACAGGCACTCACGGCCCTTACGGATATTTAAGTATAACCAAAAGTCGTAGAAGAGAGTGTTGGGATTGGTAATCGTCTCCCACTCAGTAAGAGCTTCCCTCACAAAGTCCAAGGTAACGGCATAGCCCCACTCCACTTGTATCGCTCCACGCATTATTCGAGTGTCATCATAGGCCAGGCCTTTCAAGCCTACGGGCGCATGGGCGTTGACACAGTAGAGTGTTGGGTCAGTCTTCAATAGCCACAGCGTCTGGCTCATGAATGAAAAAAAATCGGGGGAGACTTGAACGTCCTCGTCGAGGAGAATTACTGCCGGTGCGTCGGGGAATTTGTGGGCGACGAGGCGGAAGACGCTGCGGTAGTAGTGGAAGAGTTTGTTGTTGGCGTGGCCATGCACGGGTAGTGTAGTGAAGGTGACATTCATTAGACGTAGCAGCTGTGTGGTGCGTTGTGGAGCGTCGCCCAGCACGACCAGAATGTTGCGGTGTTGAGCTCCGGGGGCAGCCAGGAGGGCAGTGAGGGAGTAATAGAGATACTGGTTGCGACTACCTGCCGTCATAATCACGGGCACTCCAGCCAGGGCCTCCTGACGGGCCACAGCACGAGGGGACGGCATGGGCAGTGGGTCAGGGGTAACCTCATCACAAAGGCCACCCATAACGCCTTGGGATGCACAGTATTGCCATCGCTGGAGCTCCAATTGGCTGTTGCTTTCAGGTGTAGGCAGGAGTGAGAGAGGCAGTAGAAGATGTGCTTGTTGCGTTGCTTCCCCTTGAAGAACAGCCGTCTCAGAAATAGTACGACCACCCTTAACAAACACCCACGTCCAGAGTGCCCTGGGTGGGAGGTGGAGGACGAGCAGTGACCCCAGTTGGGCAAGGTGAAGGGCGGCACCACGCAAACCCACGACACCAGAGCCTGATACCGCCATGACCACGATGCTGCCAGGCGACACCTGCGCCAAGTGCCACTCCAGGTCGATCCAGTGAGCCCAATACTGATCTAGCGGGAACACCTACACCAACACCTCAGTCATTGTCAAATTGTTAAATAGTCATTACTTATTAATTCATACATTTATTACGTACTTCAATTATTACTTGATATTAATTACTTTTTATTACATCGTGAATATTTTGTCGTGAACCCGTACTTGTGTAAGCACTGTCAGCCATGCTGTTATTTGGCCTTATATTCTTGTGAACAACAGAAACACCGAATCAATCCAAACCTAACCTAAGTTAACGTAATATATTCCAGCATCTTTACATCATACAGGTCAGGTTTGGTAGGTTAGGTTAAGTTAGGTAGGTTAAGTCAGGTTAGGTTAAATAAATTCACGGCAAAATATCCACTACTTATCTTCATTTCTCTATTCATTTTTATAACAAATTTATTCATGTTGTTTAACTTTAAAGCCATTACAATTATATAATGTATTAGTTAATAATATATTAACTTTATTCTTATCACTTACACACTTCATCACTTTTACATCTTCTCAAACATATTCATTCCTCCATTATCTCCTACACTTTATTATCTATTTCTCCCCATACAGTATTCATCAATTTCTTAGTTATTTTACTTCATTCATTATTATTTATATCTATTCTCCTTGTTAATCACCCCGGTCTTCTCGGACTATTCCTTGACATTGGATCATGCAATTCGTTAACTTAGGGTGTCGTTTTTGTGTTACGTTGGTGGTACAGCGGTAACGCGCTTAACTCTCACCAATATGTCAAGGGTTCGAGCCTCGGCCGGGACACGCGTGAGAAGGGTGTTATACCAAACACCACATGTTTCCCAGTCCCCGGTTTCCTCCTGTACTAACACTGGATAAACCGCCCAAACGGGTAGTAAGCTGATAAGTGGCGAATATGATACACAATACATTACACCTTAAACAAATTCACATCTAGGTGGCCCTAGTTCCGGTCGTCCTCGTTACACGAGGGGCAACAGTTATCATTTTTTATGTATGTATGTATGTGGCGACGGGGACAGACAGAGATGACTGACGGGAGTCTCTAGTCACAACTCTGCACATTAGTGGCATAGATAAGACGGTCGTTTATGTACTGGGATCTAGCCAGCAGTGCAATTAGGACCTGTCTGTGCTCAGTCGCACAGACAGGTAGGAACAAAGGTGTCCATCACTGAACTTCAATATGCAGACGACCTCACCCTCGTCGCTCACAGTGAACTCGACCTACAGGAGATCCTGAACACCCACACAGATGCATATGCACACTTCGGCCTTAAGGTTAATGTATATGACTCGGTTTCTCTTTCAGCTTGCCCCTGGTTCAGCCACACGTCCACCATCCATCCAGCTTAACGGTACTACCCTCGCTAATGTTACCCACTTTCGGTATCTTGGCTCCCACCTGTCTGCCACCGAGGACATCGATGAAGAGATTCAACATCGGGTCAAATGTGCATCTCATGCTTTTGGCAGACTCCGTACCCGTGTCTTTAGCTGTAGGGAGCTGAAATTATCTACAAAGCTGCACGTATATCGATCAGTAGTCCTCCCCACCCTGCTGCATGGCAGCGAGACATGTGTCACATACAGGAGGCACCTCGAGTCACTTGAAACTTCCACCAACGTAGTCTACATCCCATCCTGCGAGTTCGCTGGGAAAACAAGAGAACAAATGCCAGTATTCTCGCTTACACCAAGTGTAGGAGCATCGAGCCTACCATTATCTATGAGCAACTATGCTGGACTGGCCATGTTACCCGCATGAACGACAGTAGACTGCCAAAACAGCTACTTTACAGTCACCTAACGAATAGTAAACGTTACGCTGGTGGGCAACTGAAAAAGGTATAAGGATAGTCTTAAGACAAAACTGAAAAGTGCCAAATCGACCCCCTCACCTGGGAGACGATTACTCCACACCGTAACGCTTGGAGAAGCACCACACGAGAAGGTGTCAATACAGTACTTTCGAGTTCACCCGACTGCATACCGAGGCAGACAAACGCTGCTGCCGCCCCTCCCGCACTAGATATAGCCCTCCACACGTGCAACATCTGTGGACGGTTCTGCCGGTCCCTTATCGACCTCTAGAGTCATGAAGCTCATCAACGATGGCGACATTTTTAATAACTCATATCATTGTATCATAGCTGGATGATCGTCATATTCGATTCCGAATGACAACAAAGTAGTAGTAGTATCTATCTATCTATCTCACAATCAATCAATCAATCAATCAATCTCTCTCTCTCCCTCCTAGACACACACCTTCCTGAAGACGAGAGAAGCATCCCGTTGGTTGAGTACTGAGAGGGTGATACCCTTGTTTGTGTTCCTCACTGATTCAGCCTGAGTTGGTGGTGAAGTCCTAGGATTCTGGGGGGTAACCTCACGCTGGGGGGTGACCTCGCGCTGCGGGGTGACCTCACGCTGGAGAGAGACCTCACGTTGGAGAAGGCTACAGGGGTGTTGGTCTTGGGGATGGTAGGGGCAGCCATTCACCTTCAGTCCCCAGCCATTGAGGGTTGAGGAAACTTCCACGTACACTGGTCTGGTGAAGAGAGATGATGATTATGAGAGAGAGAGAGATGCTTTCTTTTACCACGTGTGTGTGTGTGTGTACATTAAAGAATTGTCTCACAAATGAATATCCAAATTGTACTATTTTTTGTAGAGTGGACTGTGGTTATCCGATAATGAGTCTTAACGTACTTAGTGAATGTGATAATAGTACTATGTGAGTTAAGTTGATGATATACTGTAATCACCTCTACAGCAGGAAAAATAAATATGTCATTACATTTTTCTGCGTGTAAAAGATGGGACAACTATACTTACCCTGGGTTTCCGAGAGAGACATTTGGGTACCATTAATATTCTGAAGTTTTTGTACTACATATACCTGTGCTTGTATCTCTTATATTACTTAAAACTTACCCAATAGGATGACTGTTGTGAGCTAATGGGACACACACACACTGATGAAGTGTTAATAATAATAATATCATTAACATAGCCCGTCCGCTGATGACACCACTAGGCTTACGTGTTTTCATTTCGTCGTACGTCCGGCACCTCCGTTTGTTTACATCACCTCCACTTTGTAATTTATTCCAAGCCGATAATATTATCCTCTCTAGATTATTAGTTATTTTCGTTTTCTTTACGTTTTTAAGTTTGTACATGCGACTTTTATTCACGTAACAATATATATTCTGTTCTGGATTCACTCTATCGTTGGCACAAGTAAAGATCTACAGCGTTAACACAACGACACAGCGGCAATGATGAGCGTTAGTCTGGGGTAGAGGAAAACTTCACCCTAAAAATCATGTGTCGACGTGATTGTTTTATTGTTTTCCTCTATACGATGTAGCGTGGCAAGTTGATACAGGACTAGTAGTAGTAAGTAGTAGTAGTAATTATGAAAAACAGGTGAGGTGAGGTGTAGTATAAGGGAACTCTGAACTTTTATTAAGGACAGGGAAAAACAGGCTGCTTGCTTCTTCTATTCTTATCAAGGTTCAAGAATGCGGAAAGAACTAAGTTTACCCGGTGTTAAAGATAGAATAATTATTGTCAACCTCGTGATAGCTTTGAGGCTCTTGCGTGGTGATCCAGATACCATTGCTTCTAAGAAACTGCTAAAATACGTGAGTCATAAAACTAGTGAGTCTAAATGGATCCAAACTACAGCTAAACATATGAGGATGTTGGACTAGACCATCTGTACAAAGCTGAGACACAGCAGCGCTTCCTGCCACCCTGGCGGACAGTTCCCTTCAATACCACAACACCAACGTACCCCCCTAAACGACTGACCACACAAGCCTTATTTCCAACACACTACCAAAGTGAGAGCTCTTGACCACATACATAACCTACAGACTGAAAATAACACCATACAGACCTTCTACACTGACGGCTCTCTTAACACTGTCTGTGGGAGGGCTGGAAGTGTCAGTGTGACTCAGCCTAACGGTAATGTAATAGAGAAAGGAGCTAGAATTAATAACAGGTCATCCACTCAAGAACTGAACTATTTGCCAAACTCACAGCCCTGAAACTTGTTGAAGACACTGCCAGTCTCGTCATCACTGACTCCTTAACCCCACTCCTTGCTCTTGATACCCTAAACTCAGATTGTCACCCGCTTTTCTCTGAAGCCAGACACAAGTATATGTTTCTTGTTGACGGGGGTGTCATGATCAAGCTGCTGTGGGTCCCCTCTCACATAGGCATCAGTCAACATAATAAGCGTTGATGCATCAGCTTAACTCGCGTCCAACAGGACAATTTTGAATACAATCTAGGACTGTCAAACAGAACCTTAAAAATTGAAATCAGAAAACAATTTATTGATGAATTTGAAACAAGTAAACAAGTACAAACAGGCACTAGACAATCCATTGTTTACCGTGATGAGATGTATCAGGTAAAACATGTATATGGAGAAAGTAACAGGATCGCTAGATCACAAGATGATGTAACCGTGAGTACAAATTTTATGCAAAATGTGTGGCCAGACATATGGCTACACACACCAACACTACGTCTTAGACTGTGAAAAAATAGAACCTTATAGGGATAGATCCAAGCACACTGTGTATACAATGGCACAGCACTTTATCTCTGATGACACGATAGCTGATATACTAAGGCTGTATCCACACTCCGCATCTAGTACCTAATCAAAATTCTATGTACCGACTTAAACAGATAATGTACATGAAATACTCTAACATTCATTGCCAATAATATCATGATCACTGGGGTCTGATAAATACCCTTTGTGGCCTCTACTCTGCAATCCTTTTTGCACTACCGCTTACAGGATGAGTATGGGGTGCACAATACACTTGCTGCCGTCCGCGGCAAAATTAAAAAAAAAATCCAAGTGACTCACATTCGTAATATGATCATTCTGCCAATACACTTAGGTTACCTAACAGATAGATTAGTGAACAGCTCGCCATCTGGATACCATCTAGAAGTGGAATGCAACGCCATCTAAGAAGCAGAGGTCACTTCACGACACGAGTTTTAGGGCCCAACTATCACCCCCCCCCCCGCCCTACTGAAGCTTTCGTGAAACAAGGTTCAAGGACTTTTGATTTAGTCTGACGCAACAACGCCAGCACAGTCGCTCGCTGGGCTGTCAACTTTCACCCCTAAAGGTTAATACTACACATATGACTTGGTCTAGCAACACCTCACTCACTCTCTCTGGAAAGCTAATTATTACCAACAGGTGTGTACTGTCTCCCTCGCGGAATTAGAATGTAGAGACTCAACTAATGGACGATCTAGGAGGGGAAAACTGTACCATTGTTGTTAATGTATTTTCCTGATAATCATTTCTTCCTCAGATGGATGGTCGGTCAAGTCAAGTATGTTTTACACACACACACACACACACACACACACACACACACACAAAGTTTGTAATCTTTGTCCATTAAATTCTTCTATAACTGACGCATGCGTACCTTCTATCATTCCTTACATGAATAGGCCTACTAAACCGAGTCCGTCAACTAGTGTTAATTTCTCTACCATCTTCTTTTATATGATATGATTCCCTCAGCTGAAAACACTCAGCATACTGTAAATTGCTAAACACGAATTTCTACTTTTACTCGAAAGCTACGTCGACAAAATTGAAACTTTAATAATTTTTATAACTTTCAGCTATATTAAAAGTGATTATAAACCGTCACTGCATCTCTCAAGTAGCCTACATTAAATACAAAAATTTTCATGTTTATGTTTTAAAAGTGTTACCTACAGGGGTGGTTGGTGTAGATGTTCTCACGGCGGTAATGGCGTTCTAAGTAAATTGTCGTTTTCTCTTTACAATGATTTCATAATCCGACTTTGAATGCGCATACGTCACAAACGCTCCATTGTGGTTTTTGGTGATCGAATTTATAGTTAAAATGCAATAGAAAACAACAAGCTACAACAACACAACAAACCACAACAAAAACAACAACAACAAACAAACAACCATAGTAACGGCCAGAATTGCTTAAGCTCAGCAATTATTGGTCAGCATTCAGCTTCTATTACCCGTTTCCCCTTTCTCCCTCACCTCGTTAAAAGAGGCGGTGTACTGTTGGGGAGGAAAGGGGAGGGGGGGGGGGAGGGGAGGAGCACCTGTCCCCCAATTGACGTGTGGGAGACCACAACATCGCCGGGGTCGTGTTTCTTCCCAAGTGTGGGGCCGTGGCGTCATGTGGTACTGTGTTGGCGATGGGTAACTTTACATGCCACAACAGAACATCGGGAATGACAACTAACACTACTACTACATCACGATGTATCACGAGCGCAGGCCAAACACTTTATACCATAGCCACCTCCTGTGACCTGACCTCATACCACATCTCTCTGGGGTTACATCTTCTCTGTGAGTACGCCAGCCTTCACCTCTGTTAGTAAGGCCTGTCACCACGAGTACCTCCATGAACCTGTCAACACGAGTACCTCCATGAACCTGTCACCACGAGTACCTCCATGAACCTGTCAACACGAGTACCTCCACGAACCTGTCACCACTATGAACCTGTCAACACGAGCCTCTATGAACCTGTCAACACACGAACCTGTCAACACGAGTACCTCTATGAACCTGTCAACACGAGTACCTCCACGAACCTGTGTACCTCTATGAACCTGTCAACACGAGTACCTGTCAACACGAGTACGAACCTGTCAACACGAGTACCTCCACGAACCTGTCAACACGAGTACCTGTCACGAGTACCTCAAACCTGTCAACACGCGTACCTCCACGAACCTGTCAACACGAGTACCTCTATGAACCTGTCAACACGAGTACCTCCACGAACCTGTCAACACGCGTACCTCCACGAACCTGTCACCACGAGTACCTCCATGAACCTGTCACCACGAGTACCTCCATGAACCTGTCAACACGAGTACCTCCATGAACCTGTCAACACGAGTGCCTCTATGAACCTGTCAACACGAGTACCTCCACGAACCTGTCACCACGAGTACCTCTATGAACCTGTCAACACGAGTGCCTCTATGGTGATCTGTATGATGGGGCGACACCTGAGCAGTTGATGACTTAGTCTTAGAGTCTTTGTGTGTCATCTTTCTGTCTGGCAGGAGAGGAGGAGGTGGTGGCCGGCGGTAGAGACAGACGCAGCAGGAGAGGAGGAGGAGGTGGAGCCTAGTGGTAGTTCCTCAGCTACTGGTACAAGAAGGAGTGATTGTGTGTCGTCACTCTTCAGGCAAAACGTTATAAGCGAGTCAAAGTGGAGGTGGTGTATGATGGACTTACCCTCCTCCACCACAACTACTTTCTCCTCCACAACTACTTTCTCCTCCACTACCACTCCTTCCTCCACCACTACCACCTCCATCACCACAACCACGGCCCTCCTCCTCCACCACCTCCACTATCACTTCTTCCAACACCTCCACCACAACCACAACTACCACAACCCCCACCTCTACCACAACCACCTCCACCACTACCACCAACAGGCAGAGACACACACACACACCCTCACAATT